GTCACCCTGATCACCTCCTGTTTCGCCGCCGGAAACCCCAAAGGCTGACGACTCTTTGTACTCGAAACTTAAGACGTTGATGTGATGGGCTGCGGCGGCTGCAACTGCTGCCTCAGTGACGAAGAACGCTGCCGCTGTGGGTGCGGGTGTCGGATGATGGTGATGGTGATGCGTCTGGCCTGGGGTCAGAGTGTCCAATCCGTCCATGATCATGGTCGAAGCAGGAGGAATGGACAAGGGACCTGCTGTTGAAGCCACGGCCAAACCACCGGAAGTAGCGCCTGAAGGACCAGAACAAGAACTGTCAGCTTCGCAGGGGTTGCTACTGGTAGAACCGGGTTCTACTTTGATAGGAACGCCCTCGTATTGGGCGATATCAACACCGGCTAATCCGGGGCTGTCGTCTTCAGTTTGCGTAGTGGAGTCTGCAGGTGGCGAATGTTGGAACTGTAGCAACGGCTCGAGCAGAGGCAGTGGAGGGGGGGTATCTGTTACTTGGTCTTCATCTCCTGTACTCGTTGTGTTGCTAGTGGCGAGTAACAACGGGGGGGAAGAGGAGGTGAAGATGTGACGGGTCCAGGATGTGGGTGTAGGGAGAAGGGGGAACCAAAACACGCACCCTGTGGCCGTCAGTTTTGACAGATTTCAGATGCACACACACAGTACGGGAATAATTGTACTAACAGCTGTCCGCCACGGTTGACGGGTGACAATGCCCCCACCCTACGCACACGTCCTATCGCCTGCGTGGCTTCTCGCAAACTGCGCGCGGCGCGCTACACTCATCACTTTTATGAATGAACGGTTGCCCCAAATTTGGTATGTACTGGCAAGTGTTGACCAATCAGAAGTGGGCGCCCCCCCGCCAAACTCTCTCCTTCTCACTCTCCGCATGGCATCCCCACCCTCCCGAAGCGTAATTATGACGTCAAAATGACGTAACAGACTGCATATAGAACACGGCTAGGACACGAGCTGCTGCAAGCGAATCTCGGCCTTATTGAAAGGGACGTAACGGTAGGTGGATATTTTCCGTCATTGATTTACAAACCGTAATACAATATCCCTTCACATATGCAGCCGCGATGTCAGTCTGTACTTGACAGTACTCAATTTTGGCATAAAAATCGAATATGACACCTAAAAACAGCCGTTGGAAAACAAGTGTAGTCTACAGTTTACCTTATATGGGAATCGGAGGAAACCGAAGTTTGCCGAACGTTAAACACATGTGACGTCACAAATGACAGAAAAAACGTCGTCATTCAGTACCGCCAACTTTTAAAAAAAATTATGACGAAGTACTTTGTTTTCTGTTGCACCGTTTTATTCTGTAGTTATTATAATCACCCCGAAAGACGCAGTTGTCTGTTGCAAGCTTATGTTATCCCGTGTTTAATAAAGCGACATGTAAACAATTCTCGTGAGCATGGCAACTTGAGAGATTCTGAAGAAATGCCAATATCTGCTCTTACTTTGCCATTTTTGAAGGGCGACTAGCTAGCCAGACAGAGGCGTGAGTCAGGCCTCAAATAAAGCACCAGCTAATCTGTGACGTAGCGTTATGTAACCAAAACATCGCTCTGCAGAAACATTGACTTTGGGAGCTGCCAACTGAATGCCAGAACCAGGGCTATGACTACATCACCGAAGAATTGAAGTTAGGAAGAGAGAAAAAGTCTGGGAATGTGGCCAAGTTCGATGTCTACGTATCTTGGTATAAATGGAATCAAGAGAAGTGTAAAGATAGACACATTCGTTCTAATTTTGAACAGCCTTTGGGTTTACGTGGGAGATGATGACATCCGACAGTGGTCTGAGTTCTGGCGTTTTGTTAGAAGGAAGCCATCATGCGAGAAAATCACAGTAAATATATGCTTCCCATCTAGGAAAACAATTCATGGAACCTAATTTTTACTGAAACTACCCAACGCTTTCCTACATGTCACACTTCTATTCATGTGGCGACACTGAGAAGTTCAAAACCTGACACGCGGGAAAAGTTAATTTTATCATACACATTCCCACAGACTGATATTTTGAATATGCCAAACTGATATCCAAATCTTTGATGTTATCTTATCTAGATAAAAGGGATCTTCTTACTGTTATCAAAAGTCACTGTTCTAAGTTTAGTTCTTTGAAATTTTGTCATTCTAGATAACATTTGTTTCAATATACCTGTTGTTACAAATACTTAACTCTCACTGAGAGAACGATAGGTGCACGAAACCATTTGATTTTAAATGAACAGTTGGACTTCTTTATTTGTTTTAGTATGATTACTCAAGGGGCCCCATTTGCAAATGTCGTGTCCTCATGTTTCGGCGGTACAACTTGAAAAAGTTTTCGAGTCTTGGTCTCATGAACTGAACGTCACAAGGCTAAAATATATTTTCTATTATCTAAACATAATTTTTCCTTCAAGACGCGACACTCTCATTATCGCTATGACATTTTGACCTCTCCCCCAGCAATAATGTTTTCTTTAATGCGTTATTGAATTGAATAAATTTTACTGAAAAAACGAATAAAAACTACGACCCACAGGGCTTACTGTTACAAGTGCATTACCGGAAACCAAATTTGATTTTCCCCCATAAAGTGAAGATGTCTTATCGTCAGAAATCGTCGGTTTCATCTTTTCCTCTGCATTTAGATCTGTAGAGGAGAAGAATTCCCTCCCTCCCTCCCTCTTTACCGACATTTTGCGTCACACAGGTACAGCTGATAACAGACTGCATGAGGGAAGAGGCAGACGACTGAGGGGGTTGGAGGGAGGGAGGGAGCGTGCGAAGATTGCGACGTGGAATCAACATCTCTCTGCGCAAGTTTTTCAACCCCCTTCTAAATCCGTTCCCTCGCCCTCCATTACGTTATGATGACGTCATACGTTCATTCATGATATTCGCTCGACTCTCTCCTTTCATGTATGTGTCCTCTCTCTTTCTGTTCTCTGTCTGACCCTGCGCAGACCCTTGCACACACCCCTTTGCTTCACCTCTACCACACACCCCAATGTCGAGGTCCTTCGGGCGCCACTGTCAAGGTTCTACAAGCTTTTGCGCTTATCTGATGCCATCTAGGGGATGTTCAGTGAACTTTTCTTATAGTTGCATTGCCTTACATCGTACGTAATCAAAGAGCTGACATTTGGAACTTACAACGCGTATTACAGTTACAGTAGGAGACGAGCGTTCATGTTAACCGCGTTTTCCTGGCGAACATTTTCAAAAAAGCATGGTTCAGTGGCTCTCCATACACATCCTTAGCGCTCTTTTACAATCACCAAGTCTGTTTATTCATGGGTTTTCTATGATTCTCAGAATAAGTAGTTATTTTCCAAAACAGCATAAACCAGTTGTCGTGTTTTCTTTGAGGTACGGACTGAATTCTCGGTTCAAAAGCTAAATTCGAAACGGGGAAAATGCTATGCAAAAGGCATCGAACGCTAGGGTAGGCTCTGATGTGTTCACGTTCAGGGTAACGTCACCTTAGACAGACTTGATATACGTATCTGACGTTGGTACACAGTGCTGATTTGTGCGAGACAATGCCTCTTTCTTAACTTGAGTTTTCCACCTGGCGCATTGAGTCAGCATTTAGGTTTTATGACGTACCGAAGGGACATGTTTTGTAACATGCCACAAAGCTTCGTTTGAATTATTCAGTGGAATGGAGGAACAGAACGGTAGCATTTCGACCGACGAAAAGGACTTACGTAAACGTAGACGAAATTGTATGATACGATTGGCAATTTAGTTATAATGAAAGATAAACATATCCTTTTGCAGACATGAATTATTTTCTGCTGTAAATCAATTCCAGTGAAATCCAGACTGTCTCTCTGTTGTACGCTCAATGTATAACTTGTGGGGTACAAAATCCAATACACAGGATACAGTAAAAATGATTCTACTCACATTTTGTAATGAACCCATTATAACCTCATAATTTGTGAAATTCCTTTAATAGCTTGTTGTAGCTGTGAGTTTTGATCTAAATCGAAACTTCACATTTCTCTACGCTAAAGAGAATTTTATACGACTTTGTGTGAAGTGAATTTGCATGTATCAAGGGGAGAGACGTGCACAATTTTAAGTTTGCGTTAGAATGTTTAATGACGTACTTGAAGGGCCTAACTTTCAATGCGCGCATTGATTTCGGTAGCCTACACGGCGTAAAGGCCCTAGAAGGACGAAGGTACTCTATCGATGCGGTACTCAAGGTATCGCCCAGGCACTGAACTGTGTTCTGTAGAAACGGTTAGATTATCCCATACGTCGGAGTATTTAGTTACGAAACGAATGCTTTCTCTCGTATCAGCGAGTCAATGCCCACTACATATTACATTCTGTCCGGAATGTTATCTGAAGTGTAATAAATTATCAGCTGGTGCGTATTTGATTCATTATGTAATATCTGTTTGATTTTTTACCATATTATTTTCGCAACCCCAGCGTAGTATAATTTTATCTCGTGTTGTTTGTCTTGTTTGTTTTTGTACGATTTAGACTGGATTCATATCACTCAGGATAGGTTCCAGTGTCGAAATTTTGTGAATACGGTAACGATCATCCGGGGTTCCATAAAGAATGGGTAATTTTTAGACTAGCTGAGCGTGTTATCAACTTCTCATGGACTCTGTTTCATAATGTTTGTTGTTACATATAGCCTGTAAACCTGTACTATATTCATTGCTATTTCCTCTGATATGTGAATAAAACGGATCAATTGAATGTTTCTCGAGACTGTTAAGATTCCTGTGTATACCTGCGTGTTACATTTCTTCACACCAGTCGTTTAATGTAAGTGTTAGAGGGGTATAAAACCTGAGCGTCTTACACTGAGCGAGCAATGAAACCGGTTCTATGGGTGTAGCCAGTAAGTGACGTCTCAAAGAAGCGTTGGTGTGGTTACAGATGGATATAACTTACATGGTGTAAAGCAGTACTGTCCCCTCTGTATTATGTAAGGCTATATATGGTGGTATTCAAAGAGAGTTAGGGAGACGAACGAATAATTATTATATGCTGGTAACTCCACCCAAAAACTCATTGGAGAGAAAAAAATATTCTGGGCTTCTATTTCCCCCGTCCCCCCTTGAATAACTCGTAGGCGGTGGTACGCCGTTGAAAAAGAAAAGACAGAGGAAATTTATGTAAATTTAAGGCGATCAGGAGGCATCTAGTATGTAATTTACCATAAGTATTGGCTTGTACATGTCACAATGTGAGGGCCAAATCTAACAGGAAACCTCCCTCGAGTTTTTGACCGTTAT